TCTCCTTCACTGCAGACATTTTGTGCCTACTGGAGATAGCACTAGGAACAATGTTTCTGAGCTTTTGGAGCTTACATCTTAAGAGAAGGACCAGGGAGATAGGTAGCAAATAATTATGTCTGGCGGCAATAAAGAACTGTAAAGAAAAAAACAATATATGAAGACTGGGAATAATAAAAGTCTATTTAGATAGCGTTGTTAGGGAAACTTGAATGTTAGATGATATTAGAGCAAAGTTAAACATTTAAAGAGATGAAAAACGATAGTTTCAAATATCTTGCTAATTATGATGTTTTCACACCATCATTTGCTATTATCTCAAGGCACTGTTAGGGTGAGGTTCATTTTTAAGAGTAGTATATAGGAATCTATATTTCAAAAAAAAAACTCAAGACCTGAGTCTTCCCATCTCAGGTCTGATTAGACTGTCATTGTTTCTACATTGAGGGTAACGTGAGTGATGAAATAATATGGCATTTCTTGGAATAAATGGCAACAATTATGTCCTTTCCTTGTGGTTCATTTGATATTGGTGTTATCCTTGATTTGGTTTTTATGGCAGAATCTTTTTCAAAGTTTTGTCCATGTTTTGAGGATTTAGTTAACACCTGATAGTGGAATCTATAAATCCACTGAATTGGACAAACACAAACAATAACATATTATTGAGGAAGGATGCTTGTCATTTCCTCTACCCTGTGTAATTCTTACTTTTTCAGTATTCCTTAATGTCTTGTGATATGTAACTGACATTTAACCCAAGCATAGGTTCAATGCCAATTCATATATTAAATATCAGTAAAATTTATTTTTCTATTTTACCTAAAGTACATATAAATATCTAATATTTTCTTCCCATACCCCAAAATAGCATCTTCAAGATGGACCCTAGGATATTTTTAAAAACCTCACTGTTCTAGTCTTTAGAAAAATGAGTTTGGGAAAAGCTTAGATGGAAGCTGATAAACTCATGACATGGAACTCCTAAAAGAGAAGAGTTCTGATAAGTCTTGCTCTGTCACCCAGGTTGGAGTGCAGTGGTATGATCTTGGCTCACTGAATCCTGTGCCTCCCAGGTTCAAGTGATTCTTGTGCCTCAAATTCCCAGGTAGCTGGGACTACAGGCATGTGTCACCATGCCCAGCTAATTTTTGTATTTTTAGTAGCAATGGGGTTTCACCACGTTGGCCTGGCTGGTCTTGAACTGGCCTCAAGTGATTCACCCCTCTCTGCCTACCAAAGTGCTGGGATTACAAGCATGAGCCACCACACCCAGGAGATCAGTTCTTTAAAAGACTACATTTACAATATACTAATAAGACAGTTCCCTTGATTAAACATACATTTACATCTGCATATTTTGCTCAGTGAAAAAGCATGAGAGAGACAAAAATGTTAACTACAGTGATTTTAGCAGTGATGTTGCTTTTTGCTTCTTTATATTTTCTAATTTTCTATAATAATTATGCATTATTTGCATAATGAAGGTTTAAACAGTGTTAAATAGAAGTGCACATACAAAGTTAGAAGGTGATTAAAGAATAGAATAAATCTTTAAGAATAACATTAGGATAAATCCAGAAGTTTTTGTAAGCCAAGAAAAGCTTATAAAAAGTGTCAAAAACACTCAAAGTGATGTTTAAAACTATATTCAAAGCAAGAATGCTGAGATCTATCCTTGCAATGGAAAGAAGCAGAGATAAGGTAAGAAACTAGAGAGCATCTAGTTGTGCATTCTGAGTTCATGTCTCTTTCTCCAGCTCATTTCACATTGTCTAAAGAAAGGAAAAGTTGTGAATAAATTAGAGAAAACATAAAAAACAATCTTCAGAACACTTGAGATGGGCATGTGTCTTGATTTTCAAAAAAGAGAGAGAAGGCAAATTCCAGAAAATACATTCTCAGAGTTTCATTGTCCAGTAAAATTCAAGAAGGCTATCTAGCATGGTGATTCTCAACCCTACCAGGCTCAAGTCTTCTATATATAATAAATGTTTTACAATATTCCCTTTACTATCCAGAAATAAAATTCAAAGACAATGACCTCCTTTCCTACCTTAAAAATCAATATAATGCCCTCATTGCTATACAAAAAGAGAAATTTATGTTTTAAAATAAGTTGGTAGGTCATGACCCTACTATAATATAATAATCAAGCTTGCTTCTATTTATATTGAATCAGTTGTAATTACATATTGACATTTTGAAATATGTCAAATAAATACATATGTGTACAAGTATACATATAATCATTATAGATTCAATAGCTACAAATACAGGTTGAGCATCCCTAATTCAGAAATCCAAAATGCTCCAAAATCTGAAACTTTTTGAGCACTGACATGATGGGCAAAGGAAATGCTCATTAGAACATTTTGGATTTTAGATTGGGGATGCTCATCTGGTAAATATAATGCAAATATTCTAAAATCTGAAAAAATTTAAAAATCTGAAAGTTTTGGTCCCAAGCTTTTTGGATACTCAACCCGTATAAATGATGACCAAATACTATAAGCAGAGTTGCTGATATAAGTTTTTGCAATGATGAACAACTGTTAGCAAACTTCCGAACAGAAGAAAGTACAATCTTTCCTCTACTTCCTTATATGGTAGCTGCATTACTGGAATCATTGTAAGCTAAAACCATGCCCCAGACAGTGTGTGTTTATAAGTAAAACAGAGTTAAATTCTTTCTAGGCTTAGAGAATCATAAACAGGTTTTACTGCTACATGAATGTCCAAGGGGAAATCTAAGTCATTTAGGTTGCAGGGTAACTCTTCATTGTGTGTGACTGGCCTGGGTATTAGCAGCAGGACATTTAACATCCCTGGCCCTTGCCTTTCATTTCATTGCAAGGTAGGTTTACACCCCTCTATCTTTGTGCTAAATAAAAAAAATTGCCCCACAAGTTTCCAAAATTGCCTCTAGATGGCAATAGTATCCTTGTCATAAATTACTGATCTCAGCATAGAATACACCATGGTACCTTCATAAAGCTTTATATATAATACAGTGTATCTTAAAGTTCTACTTATGATCCTCTCATCTTGCAAGGTAAAGAAAGCAGGAACCAGGATACATTTGAGAATGATGTCAACTTACAAGAGCCATATTAAATATGTTTAGGTTTAAATATTGGGAAAAAATTTAAAATATAAAATAAATTAGCACTAGTCAGCCCAATCTGACCAGAATACTTCATTTCACCTGACAAAATATTTAAAGCAAAAAGCTAATAAGAGAGAGGCCCCTACTTCTCTTCAGAAGTCTTAGAATATAAGCAAAGAAGAGACAGGTTCCTTGCTTTTCCTAAAAAAAATCTTGGGGAAAATGAGAAGCTTGTTTTGATTAAATGAATGAGTGGAGAGAGGCGAACTATGAAAGATCTGAGCTTAGTTCCCAGATGGGTATTCTAAACACAGTTTATATGATGCATTAAGTATCCACCCCTGACCCCATATACTCCACACCATAGGTCTGAAAGAGTTGTAACCACATTCCTAGAATTCCTAGGGACAAGGTAGTTTTTTAAATGGGATAGTATCTGGCCCTAGAACAGGACTAAAAGGTCTGCACTTCATTTCTTGTTGAGAATACACAATAAATAGGCATATCTCTTTTTTAAAGATCATACAGATTTTTCTATTGAATCCAACTATATGGGTGGATTATATAAAATATTTGATAAACTTATCCCTTTAGCTAACTTGGGAGCCATTTTGCAGCAATGGTTCACAAAGCACTTTGGTTATTTATGCCTTTAAATCATGCCAATATTAGCAAAAAAATCCATAATGAACAAAAATAAAATTTTAAATAAGGACAGCACTTGATGCAAAAAGAAAAACTGGTAATACTGATTCCATCTTTATTTTAAACTTGTATATATTGTGTTCATTACGAATTCTTTGCATGACTTGATTTTTTAAAAGATTGCGTTAAAATACTTTAAAGCTTTTTGTGTTTGTTTTTAGGAGTGGAGGTTTAATAGGCAAAATAAAGAGAAATGAGAACAGTTCTCTAGTGAAAGAGAGGGGCTTCGAAAAGGGAAAGACCCTAAAGTCATTTTTTTTTTTTGAGACGGGGGTCTCACTCCTTCACCCAGGCTTGAGTGTGGTGGCACAATCTGGGCTCCCTGAACCCTCGCATCAGAGTCCCCCAAGTTGCTGGTGCTACAGGCATGTGCCACCATGCCCTGCTAATTCTTGTATATTTAGTAGAGACAGGGTTTCACCATGTTACCCAGGCTGGTCTGGAACACCTGAGCTCAAGTGATCTGCCCGCCTTGCTCTCCCAAAGTGCTGGGATTACAGGCGTGTGCCACTGCACCCGGTCTTAAAATACTTTTTATCTTGATGACTGAGGGTTTTTTTTTTCCTTTTCTTTCTCCCCGCTCCCTTGATTTTGGGCAGAGCTAAGTGCCTCCTTGGTCTTCAGTAGTTCCTCAAGAATAAGCAAAACCTCTTTTCACTAATAGGTTTCAGAGTACTGGGAAGCCCCAGTGGTCCCATATTTGTACTTCTCTTAGACGTACTATTTCAACAAATATACATATATTTTTTGAGGCAAGGTCTTGCTCTGTCGCCCATGCTGGAGCATAGTGGCGTGATTATACCAACAAATATTTAAGTAACTTACAGCATTAGTTATAGCAGAGTGCCTAATGGCAACTCCCTCAATCCTGGGAGGTCAACCGCTTTCCTTCTGCATCTGGCACAGGTGCACCAAAGTGTAAATCCCGCTGCACCAGATTTAGAGAAAGAGAAGGCAGTGGTCTCCTCTATACCAGAACTTGGTCAGGACTAAGGCGGCCCTGGGAAAGTAGAGTCTGTTAGATAGGTTCAGAAACTAAATTCTGGAAGCGTAAAAAGCACTCATTACTGACAACTGTAGCTGTGGTTGTGGTGCCCACAATCATCCACCTCCTGGCCACCCTGCTTCTCTGGGAAGCTGATGGAGGCGTCGGGAGAGGCAGGGGTGGTGGCCTGCCTTTACTCACCCTGCTCGCGAGGAATCCGCACCAGGCAGTCCACCATGCCTTTGTACTGTGCCTCCGGGCTGATCTGCTTCGACGAGGCCTGCACCTGCAGCAGCAGCTTCACCCGCTCAATGGGCGCCACTGCTGTCTTGGACACAGCTGCCGCGACTCCGCCGGCCAGAAGGTCCTTCCCGAAGGATGAGGCGTCAAACAGCTGCTTTTCTGCCTTCCTCTTCGCAGGCTCACGCGGCATGGCGGAGAAGGATATAAAAGCCAACAGCAGGACTAAAAACGAGTGCTGGAGCGACGATGAAGGGAAGCTGAAAACCGGTGAAGTGTCGTCCTGGCGGGAAAGCGGCTCTGGGGGCGCTGGAAGAGCAGCGCGTGTGTGTGCGGTGTGGAGAAAAGCTGCGCAGGCGCTCCAACGGCCTTCTGCTACCTGGCGCCTGACACGTGACCCCTGACACGTGGCTCCCGGACGTGCGGTGCAGCCTGCGCCCTTCACTGAGTGGAGCCTGAGCTTTCTGATGAGGGAGCGTTCTGGAGGCGGTGAGCACTGTGCAGGAAAGATGAGGGGAGGGACCCAGGAGAGCCAGTTTTGTATGAAGAAATTCAGCAGCTGAGACTAGGCCAGAGCAGTAAACCAGTGGTGTGAGGTTACCAGATTGTGATTTCAGTTCCCAGTGTTACCCCCTTCACTTTCTTAATCACGTTAATCCCTTATGTTTTCTGACCAGAGATGGTTCCTTTGACCTTTCTTGGCATCTTAAAAGCCAGTCTTACCTGTAGTGTAATTCAAGTGATGTTCCCCTTATATCTCTCCCTATATGCCTGTTAATGCTTCAGATTCCCTTGGGAATTGCTTTAATCCGTTCCTTAAGCAGGGATTCTTTGTCTAGTCACTTTCTGTGTCGTTTTGCTGATTGTGCCCTCATAGCATAATACATGTTCCTTTTTCATCTTGTATTTAAATTGATAATAGCCAGAGCGGGGTTCTCAATCCAGACTGCACATTCAAAGGGATGAGTGGTGTTTTGTTTTGTATTTCAAATTGATGCTTGACATTAGGCCCTATTAAATCAGAACCTCTAGAAGTGAGGCCTGGCATCAGTATTTAAATTCTCCAGGTAATTCTAATGTTTGAAGCAATTCTAATTCTAGGGTTGAGGGCCTAGAATTAGACCCTATGGTCTATCTGAAAGAGTAGTTCACAAACTTTTTGATTGCAGGACCCCTTTTTTTCACTGAAAAATTATTGAAGGCCAGGTACCAATGGCTCATGCCTGTAATCCCAGCACTTTGGGCCAAGTTTAGCCTGGGCAACATAATGAGGCCCCTTCTTTACAAAAAAAGAAAGGAAGAAAAGAAGAAAAGAAAAGAAAGAGAGAGAGAGAAAAGAAAAGAACGGAAAGAAAAGAAAAGCAAGCAAGCTGAGCATGGTTGCACAAACCTATAGGGCTTAGTACAGCTACTCAGGAGGCTGAGACAGGAGGATTTCTTGAGCCCAGGAATTGAAGGCTGCAGTGAGCTATGATCTCACCACTACACTCCTACCTGGGTAACAGATCCTGTCTCTTAAAAAAATTTATTGAAGATACAATGAAGCTTCTGTTTTTGTTATGTACTCAGAAATTAAAATATAATTTACAAACAATTCATTTAAAATAAAAATAATCCATTACAGGATAGCAGAAGTAACACTTTTAAATAAAAAAATGTAGTAGAAAAATGCTATTGTTTTATATTTTTGAATCTCTAATGTCTGGCTGAATAAAAGACAACCAGATTCACGTTATTGCTTTTGCATTCGGTCTGCTGCGAAATCACACATATAGCCACTGGAAAACCCCACTGTTTATTCAGGAGAGAATGAAAGTGAAAAAGGCAAATAATAGTATCCTTAAGAAAATACTTTGACCTTATGGTGTTCCTGTCTCCATGACACAGAAGGGTCTTCCAAATTACACTTCAAGAACTCATTTAGAGGAGGTTGGCAGATTCAGGTTTGATGGACTTTTTTTGGCAAAAATACTCAGTAGAGTTACATCTAGCCTGTACATAATGTTTGTCTTTATTTTCTTCCACCTCACTTTTTTCACTTAATATATCATGGAGATCCTTCTATAGTAGCATTTAATATATCCCTTTTTACAGCTTGTTTGGTGGTTTTAAACAAATGGAGATCCCATCTTCTCAACTCTTACTCTGTAGGACCTGCAGATTCTTACAACACATCTATAAAATGTGAGATGAGTTTTTAGCTTTTTTTGAATGTTAGGTTCTAATTTTTCCTTTGTCTTAACTGTGTTGTAACCCTTCTACTATTATTTGTCACTAGTAAAAAACCAAGTAGGCCTAAGGATTCCAGACCAAAAATGTTGTCAGTCTTTTGATTATCTCACATAAAATTAGTTGGCAAGTCCTACTGATGTCATATGTTTGGTGGTACTTCCTTTCCATGATGGTGTATTCAACTCTCTCTTTTTTTTTTGAGATGGAGTCTCACTCTGTTGCCCAGGTTGGAAGGCAGTGGTACAATATTAGCTCACTGAAACCTGGGTTTCAAGCAATTCTCCGGCTTCAGCCTCCCAAGTAGCTGGGATTACAGGTGCCCATCATGACGACCAGATAATTTTTGTATTTTTGGTGGAGACAGAGTTTCACCATGTTGGCCAGGCTGGTCTTGAACTCCTGACCTCAAGTGATCCGCCCACCTCAGCCTCCCAAAGTGCTGGGATTACAGGCATGAACCACCATGCCTGGCTGGCTTATTCAACTCTTAACTGGGTTTTCCAACTTGAATCTCTTGTTTCTCTCTTTCACATGCAGCAGTCAGATTAATGTGTCTAAAGCATTCATTAATTCCTAGGCTTAAACAAAATTGATAGTCTTTCCATTGCATTGACTTCAAAATCCTTTGTGAAATTCATTGTAATTTCAATAAACAATTGGCTTTATTAGCAAACATCTGAAAAATGAAAGGTCTCATTCTCAAGGGAATTTGAAACATTAGCAGACCCACAGGGATAAATTTAAGGGGGAAATTACTTGAATCACACTACAGGTAAAAGTGTCTTTTTAAGGTGCCAAGAAAGGTTAAAGAACCCATCTCCAGTCAACGAGAATGTAAGCATTTCTGAGGACAGAAAGGAAGTGTTCTGCTCTCCAGGGCAATTTTCTCTTTCTACCCTTCTCTAACATTTGATTTGATAGTTGACAATGTTTATATCATATTTCTTTATGATACTGAGCTTATTTCTGACATGTATTCATTGATAGCAGACAGACAAAAGTGAAAGTATCAACTTAGAAATGTAGCTTTGTAACCTTTCAAAAAACTTTTTGTTGAGACATGGTCTCACTCTGCACCCAGATTGGAGTGCAATGGCAAGATCACGGCACACTCCAGCCTTGAACTCCTGGGTTCATGTGATTCTCCCACCTCAGCCTCCCAAGTAGCTAGGACTACAGGCAAAGACCACTAAGCCCAGCTAATTTTTTTGTGTGTGTGTGGAGATGGGGGTCTCCCTAGCAAGACAAGCTCAGGCTTGGACTCAAGCAGTTCTCCCAACCTCAGCCTCTCAAAATGCTGGTATTACAGTAGTAAGCCACCACACCCAATAACTTTTTAACCTTATTAAGAGGACTAAATCAACTCTTCAATAGGTTGGAGCTGAAAATGAATAATTTGCTGCATTGATTTTACTTACTAATTAGGAAAGGAAAAAAATTCTGGTAATTTATGTTAATATTAAAAGTGTAGAGTTTCTGGACCTTTGTTCTGTTCATTCTGCTCTTCGGAGAAATCAGCATCATTAGTTTCCTCACTTCAGGTCTGCAGTCACCTCAGCAACCCTTTTCTTGGTCACCCTGTCTGCTGCATCTTATATCCCTTTCTCTTGCTTCATGATTTTTTTCTCTTAACATTTATATATTTTACTTATTTATCTTGTCTGAGGTATACCTCTCCCATTGGAACATAAACTCCATGAGGGCAGGAATTTTTAGTTGCTTTATTCATTGCTGTAGTCTCGGAATCCACATCAGCGCTTGGCACAGGGTAGAAATGCAATAACTGCATGTTGGATGAATGCATGGAAAGGCAATATGACCGCAAACAAACCTCCAAACCTTTTTATTTAAAACTATCAAAATAATATAAAAATAGCTTTAATTACATAGAATATAGACATAGAACTCTGCAAAATTAAATTATTTCACACAGTTTTGGTGCAGTTTCAATAACATTTAATAATTTAAAAATATCTAAGGAACAAATTCTTGTTCTCAAAACTATTTACTGAATGATTTTTCTCAGCTTTTCCCAACATTTTGTACAGTAGCAGGTATGATTTAGCTAACTCCCTGATTTTCAACCAGTGGATATTTAATAATGATAATAATAAATGAAAGCAGTAGTAGCCTACACTTTTTTTTTTTTTTTTTGAAACGGAGTTTTGCTCTTTTTACCCAGGCTGGAGTGCAATGGCATGATCCTGGCTCACCACAACCTCTGCCTCCTGGGTTCAAGTAATTCTCCTGTCTCAGCCTCCCGAGTAGCTGGGACTAAAGGTGTGCGCCACCAAGCCTAGCTAATTTTTTTGTATTTTTAGTAGAGACGGGGTTTCACCATGTTGACCAGGATGGTCTCGATCTCTTGACCTCATGATCCACCTGCCTCAGCCTCCCAAAGTGCTGGGATTATAGGTGTGAGCCACCACGCCCGGCCGTAGCCCACACTTTCATAGCATGTATTAGGTGCCAGGCACTGTTTAGAGAGAATTTGACTTGTACAATAATGTTCAAAGCAGATAAACCTAGTGAATTGGTTTCACAGCTTAGCCCATTTGTATTAGAAATATAAAAAAGCAGGCATTACAAAATACTATCTTGCTATTATACAGCATCATCAATAGTCCCTTGGCACAAATAAGAAACATTCCCTTACTAGGTACACTTCTCTGGCAAGACAAAAACAAACAAAAGCTAAAGAAAGGGGAGAGGAAGAGAAAGTAAGAGAGTCTAAAATGTAATTTTGGGGCTCGAAAACATATGATAATGAGACAGTATTAGATATTTTTTAAATGCTAGTTATATATAATTTTTCACATTAACAGTACTTGGTGGAAGGGAACATTTGCATGATACTAATAAAATCCAATTTAACAATGTTTCTATGTCTTGTAAAGCATAATTCTTGGATATCTGCATTGTCATCTTGTCCCCTTTATTTAATAAAGTAATAGGCACTTTATTATCTCATATTCAGATTGATCTTTCAGATGTGAATCTGAACATATTTGGAAAAATAGGCAGCTAAGTTTACTTACAGTACTTCTGTATCCATTTAGAGATGAAAAAATAAGATAATGTGTGATTTTATTTCTTAAAAATGCAGTGCCTCTTTAACATGGAAATTACAGTGCACATCTATGATATAGCAAATAATTTTCCTTTCATTGAGATCAGTAGTCTGCTCTGCCTTTTTATTTCCATTCTTGAGCAATGTTCTCATGTTTCTCTGACACCAGGAAAGCAATTCAACGCATCAAAATTTAATTAAATGAAACAAAAAAGTCCCCTATGATAAAGTGCCATCTTAGTTTAGTCTGTATGAAATCCTGAGGTGATCAATAGCTACATTTATTAATAACTGTCAGTATTAGAAATAGCTCATAGTATTTTCAGGGATATATTCAGAAATTTAAGACATTTAATAAATTGTTTTAGCTAATGTGCCTTATTACATATATATTATATATATATGTGTGTAAAAGCAGTCCTAAGAGAGCAGTTGAGAGTCAAATGATAGCATATGACAATATCGTGACCTTAAGGGGAGGATATTTCAGGCTTTTTTTTTAAAATAGAAGCAAGGGGAGAGAGAGACATCCAAAATACACCTTTTTTTTTTTTTTTCTTTTTTTGAGACAGAGCCTCACTCTGTTGCCCAGGCTGGAGCGGCTGTGGCACGAGCTCGGCTCACTGCAACTTCTGCCTCCCAGGTTCAAGTGATTCTCCCACCTCAGACTCCCAGGTAACAGGGACTTCCCCACCAGCAGGCCCACCTATTTTTTTGTTGTTGTTGTTGTATTTTTAGTAGAGATGGGATTTCACCATGTTGACCAGGCCTGTCTCAAACTCCTGACCTCAAGTGATACACCTGCTTCAGCTTCCCAAAGTGCTGGGATTACAGGTGTGAGCCACTGTGCCTGGCCTCAAGCTGTTTTCTATAGCATTTCAAGAACCAAGGTTTTTTACCCTAATTTGAATGCCAAAATTAAGGCCCACTAGTCATTAATGGGACAAATATGCAGTGGTTTGCATCTTAAATGCTTAGGTGAAAATCTCTGAAACTATGACAGAGTGATAATAGTGTTTCTTTTAAGACCAAATGACCCAAATGGTACCCACTGTTTTGCAGTTGCTTTTCACTAAGCTGGACAGCTCATGTTTAAGGTAGAAAAATGGAGGGACCAATTTTAGATGTGCTGGTATAGCTTGTCTTCAAAGCTTAAGACCTGAAGAAGAAACAGCTCAGTGTTGTAGTGTCTTGGGGGCATCGAACCTCTAGGATGATCTACAGGGTAAATGTCAATTAAAATGTAGTATTTATGTTCTTCCTTTCTTTCTATCTACCAAATTCTCACAGCCAAAGAAAAATCTCCACCATTAGTTTTCTTTTTCTACTAAAGGTCAAGTAAACTACTGTTTATTAAAGTGTTCCCCCTTTGAGAAAACCCAATGCATAATGATCTATATTTCTAAGATAAAAATTAGTATTTTATACAAGAAGTCACCATAGAATTTTAGTTAACTTTTTCAGTGTCTTTAACATGCTTTAGTTTTAAAAAAAAGATTTACATGAAGCTTTCCTGAAGTTCATGAAATATATAAAATGCATGTGTAATATACTTGAATGTGTGTGGTTTTTTTTTTTGGTTTCTTTGTTTGTATTTTATTTTTTTGAGACAGGGTCTCACTCTGTTGCCCAGGCTGGAGTACAGTGGCATGATCATAGCTCACTGCAGCCTCAACCTACTAGGCTCTGGTGGTCCTCCCACCTCAGCATCCCAAGTAGCTGGCACTGTTAAAAGAGAGTGCTACCACATCTGGCTAATTTTTTGTAGAGACAGAGTTTTATGTTGCCCAGGCTGGTTTCAAACTCCTGGGCTCAAGTGATCCACCTGCCTCAGCCGTCCAAAGTGTTGAGATTAGGCATGAGCCACCCAAGCCCAGCTTCTGAATGTATTTTAACAAAAACAAAGAAAGTTGCTAAATAGTTAAAAAATACTTATACACACACACACACACCCACACACCCTAGTCAAAACTGAGTTTACCTGAAACTTAAAGAGAATCAAATAAATAAAAAATAATTTTCATCTTTTCCCACAGTGAGGTATGTACTAATATAGTTAAACTAATGAAATGTATTTGATAAGGAATCAGTACTTGGACATTACTAACTTAGGTAGAGACCAACACGCAAGAGGCAAGACAAACAAACAAAAAAACTCACAAAAAGTCAAAGAGAGAGCCAAGATGGTCAAATAGAAGCAGCTCCACTCTGCAGCTCCCACTGAAAAGGATGAAAACTGTGAGTGAACTCTGCTTCATCAACTGAGGTACCAAAGTTCTCTTATTAGGACTGATTAGGTGGCTAGCATGACCCACGGAGAGTGAGGAAAAACAGGGTGGAGCAAGACCCAACACGGGAGCTGCGCACGGCAAAGGGAACTCCCTCCCTCAGCCAAGGGAGACAGTGAAGGATTTTGCTTCCCCTCCCTGAAAACCAGGCTTTTCGCACAGATCCCTGCAACCTGTAGATCAGGAGGTCCCCTCCTGAGACCATGCTACCAGAGCTTTGGGTCCCAAGCACAAAGCTGTTGGAGAATCACAGCAGCTACTCAGGTTCACAGCCACTTCCAGCAGGCACTGAGATGCAGGAGTATTTGCATACTCCACTCTGGGAACTCTGGTGAGGCAGAAGGTCTTGTCCACTCTCATGGAGAGGGGGCTGAAGCCAGGGAGTCAAGCAATCTTGCTCTCATGGAACTCACAAGCTAAAACCCACTGGCCTGGAATCAGCCCCTTCCCCCGCCCAACCCCCAGCCAGCTAGAAACTGCCTAAGAAGACCGAGTTCCAGAAGTGGGGGAGTGGGGAGGGAAGGCTGTCGTCTGTGGCTCTGGTTGGTCACTTTCCCTTGTTGCTGGCACCAGAGAGATGGGGCCAGACCAGGATCCACTCCTCCCCATTGGACAGGGCCTCCCTGTGGGAATTTCAGCATCGCCAGTCAAGGGTTTATGGACAGAACACTGATAACCCTGACAAGAACCCCTAAGAGGAGGGATGGCTGTAGTACCTGGATCAATGATCTTAGTCTTTTCTGCCTGCTGGCTCTGGAGAATCAGGGCAGCCCAGATGAGGGGGATTTCCCCCAGTAGAGCACACCCACCCTGTCAAGGCTTTATCATGGGACAGACAGGCTGCTTATTTAAGTGGGTCTGTGACCCCACTCCTCCTGACTGAGACTTCCTAACAGTAGTCTCCAGACACTTCATACAAGAGTGTGCCAGTTGGCATCAGGCCAGTGCCCCTCTGGGAAAGAGCTCTCAGACGAAGGAGCAGGCTGCCATCTTTGCTGGTCTACAGCCTCCACTGGTGATATCTCCAGGGACAGGAGAGACCCAAGTGAACAGAGGCTGCAGTAGACCCTAGGCAAACTTCAGCAGTTCTACAGAAGAGGGGCCTAACTGCTAGAAGAAAAACAGAACGCAACAACATCAACAAAAAAGACATCACAGAAACCCCATCCAAAAGTCAGCAGCCTCAAAGATCAAAGGTAGATTAACCCATGAAGATGAGAAAGACTGCAAAGATACTGAAAACTCAGAAAGCCAGAGTGCCTCTTCTCCTCCAAAAGACTGCAGCACATCTCCAGCAGGGCATAGAACTGGGCTGAGGTTGAGATGGATGAATGTCAGTCGTCCATCCAAGATGGGAAATAAACTTCGTCAAGCTAGGGGATTATGTTCTAACTCACTGCAAAAAAGCTAAGAACCATGATAAAACCTGACAGGAGCTGTTAGCCAAATACACAGTTTAGAGAGGAACATAAATGATCTGATGGAGCGGAAAAACACGAGAACTTTATAATGCAAACACAAGTGTCAATAGCTGAACAGACTAAGTGGAAGAAAGGATATCAGAGCTGGAAGACTATTTTGCTGAAATAAGAAAAGCAGACAAGATTAGAGAAAAAAGAATGAAAAGGAACAAACAAAACCTCAGAGAACTATGGGATTATGTTAAAAGATTGAACCTACGACTGATAGGTATACCTGAAAGAGACAGGAAGAAGAGAACCAAGTTGGAAAACACACTTCAGGATATCATCCAGGAAAACCTCCCCAAACTAGCAAGATAGGCCAACATTAAAATTCAGAAAATCCAGAGAACCCCGATAAAATACTCCATGAGATCAACCCCAAGACACATAATCATCAGATTCTCCAAGGCTGAAAGGAAGGGAAAAATGTTAAGGGCAGTCAGAGAGAAGGGCCAGGTTACCTATAAAGGGAAGCCCATCAGACTAGCAGCAGACCTTTCAGAAGAAACCTTATAAGCTGGAAGAGATTGGGAGCCAATTTTCAACATTCTTAAAGAAAAGAATATCCAACTTAGAATTTCATGTCTGGCTGATCTAAGCTTCATAAGAGAAGGAGAAATAAAATCTTTTTCAGACAAGCAAATGCTGAGGGAATTCATCACTACTAGGCCTGCCTTACAAGTGCTCCTGAAGGAAGTACTAAATATGGAAAGGAAAAACTGTTACCAGCCACTATAAAAACCACTGAAATACACAGATCAGTGACACTATGAAGCAAATACATAAACAAGTCTGCAAAACAACCAACTAGCATCACAATGTCAGGATAAAATTCACACACAACAATATTAACTTTAAAAATATAAGCACACTAAGTGCCCTAGAGGGCAAGCTGGATAAAGAGTCAAAATCCATTGGTGTGCTGTATTCAAGAGACCCATCTCACATGCAAGGATACACATAGACTCAAAATAAAAGGAGGGAGGAAAATCTACCAAGAAAAGGAAAACAAAAAAGGAGGGGTTTCTCACAGAGACTTTAAACCAACAAAGGAAAAGAAGGGCATTACATATTAATAAAGGGGTCAATTCAACAAGAGCTAATTGTCCTAAATATATATGCACCCAATACAGGAGCACCCAAATTCACAAAACAAGTTCTTAGAGACCCACAATGAGACTTAGACTACCACACAATAAGAGTGGGAGACTTTAACACCCCACTATCCATATTAGATCATTGAGACAGAAAATTAACAAAGATATTCAGGACTTGATCTCAGCTCTGGATCAAGTAGACCTGATAGATATTTACAGACTTTTCCAGCCCCAAACAACAGAATATACATTCTTCTCAGTGCTACATGGCACTTACTCTAAAACTGATTACATAATTGGAAGTAAATCACTCCTCAGCAAATGCAAAAGAACTGAAATCCCGTAACAGTCTCTCAGATCACAGTGCAATCAAATTGGTACTCGAGTAAGAAACTCACTCAAAACCACATGACTACATGGAAATTGAGCAACCTGCTCCTCAATGACTCCGGGGTAAATGATGAAATAAAGGGAGAAATCAAGAAGTTCTTTGAAACCAGTGAAAACAAAATCAAAAAGCTAGAAAGATATCAAATTGACACCCTAGTACCACAACTAAAAGAACTAGAGAACCAAGAGCAAACAAACCCAAAAGCTAGCAGAAGACAAGAAATAACCAAGATCAGAATGGAAATGAAGGAGACGGAGACATGAAAAACCCTTAAAAAAAATCAGTGAATCCAGGAGCTGTTTTTTTGAAAAGATTAACAAAATAGAGAGACTGCTAGCCAGATTAATAAAGAAGAAAAGAGAGAAGTATCAAATAGACTCAATAAAAAATGATAAAGTGGATATTATCACTGACCTTACAGAAATATAAGCAACCATCAGAGAATTCGATGACAGCTCTATGCAAATAAACTAGACTCAATAAAAAATGACAAAGTGGATATAACCACTGACCTTACAGAAATATAAACAACCATCAGAGAATACGATAACCGCTCTATGCAAATAAACTATAAAATCTAGAAGAAATGGATAAATTCCTGGATACACACACCCTCCCATGACTGAACCATGAAGAAGTTGAATCGTTCAATAAACCACTAACAAGTTCTGAAAATTGAAGCAGTAATAAATAGGCTACCAGCCAAAAAGCCCAGAACCAGATGAATTTACAGCTGAATTCTACCAGAAATACAAAGAGAAGATGATACCGTTTTTTCTGAAACCATTCCAAACAACAGAAAAGCAGGGACTCCTCCATAACTCACTCTATGAGGCCAGCATCATCCTGATACCAAAACCTGGCAGAGATACAACAAAAAAAGAAAACTTGAGGCCAATATCCCTGATGAACATTGATGCAAAAATTCTCAATAAAATACTGGCAAACTGAATCCAGCAGCACATCAAAAGGCTTATCTACCACGATCAAGTTGGCTTCATTCCTGGGATGTGAGGGGTTCAACATACACAAATCAATAAACATAATTCATCATGTAAACAGAACTAAAGATGAAAACTACATGATTATTTCAATAGATACAGAAAAGGCCTTCAATAAAATTCAATATCCCTTCATGTTAAAGGAACATATTGAAGGAACATACCTCAAAATAATGAGAGCCATTTATGACAGACCCACAGCCAACATCATACTGGAAAAAGCTGGAAGCATTCCCCTTGAAAACTGGCACAAGACAAGGATGCTCTCTCTCACCACTCCTATTCAACATAGTATTGGAAGTTCTGGCCAGGGCAATCAGGCAAGAGAAAGAAAAAAGGGTATTCAAACAGGAAGGGAGGAAATCAAAATGTCTTTGTTTGCAGATGACATTATCCTATATCTAGAAAACCCCATTGTCTCAGCCCAAAAGCTTCTTAAGCTGATAAGCAACTTTGGCAAAGTCTCAAGATACAAAATGTGCAGAAGTCACAAGTATTCCCATACACCAACAGCAGGCAAGCAGAGATCCAACTCATGAATGAACTCCTACTCACAACTGCTTCAGAGAGAATACCTAGGAATACAGCTAACAAGGGAAGTGAAGTACCTCTTCAAGGAAAGGCTGCAATTGCTTTTGGTGATTTCATCAAAATTCACTGCTCAAGGAAACCAGAGAGGACACAAACAAATGGAAAAATATTCCATGCTCATGGACAGGAAGAATCAATATCATGAAAATGGCCATACTGCCCAGAGTGATTTATAGAGTCAATGTTATTCCCATTAAACTACCATTGACATTCTTCATAGACTTAGAGAAAACTATTTTAAAATTCATAAGGAACTAAAAAAGAGCCTGTATAGCCAAGGCAATCCTAAGCGAAAAGACCAAAGCTGGAGGCATCACATTGCCAGACTTGAAGCTATACTGTAAGGCTACAATAACCAAAACAGCATGGTACTGGTACAAAGAAAAGACACATAGATCAATGGAACATAACAGAGAACTCAGAGATAAGATTACACATCTACAGCCATCCGATCTTCAACAAACCTGACAAAAACAAGTAACGGGGAAAGGATTCCTTATTTAATAAATGGTGCAAGAGAACTGGCTATCCATATGCAGAAAATAGAAACGGGACCCCTTCCTCATATATAAAAATTAACTTGGAATAAAAGCTTTAATGTAAAGGCCAAAACTACAAAAACCCTAGAAGAAAATCTAGGCAATACCATTCAAGACATAGGCACAGGCAAATTTCATGATGAAATCACCAAAAGAAATTGCAACAAAAGCAAAACTTAACAAATGGGATCAAATTAAACTAAATAGCTTCTGCACAGCAAAATAAACTATCATCAGAATGAACAGGCAACCTACAGAGTGGGAGAAAATTTTTATAATCTCTCCATCTGACAATGATCTGATATCTAGAATCTGTAAGAACTCAAACAAATTTACAAGATAAAAGCAAACAGCCCCATTAAAAACTGGGCAAAGTACATGAATAGACACCTCTCAAAAGAAGACATTCATGCCGCCAACAAATATATGAAAAAAGCTGAATATCACTGATGGTTACAGAAATGCAAATCAAAACCACAATAAGATACCATCTCACACCAGTCAGAATGGCCATTATTAAAAAATCAAGAAATAACAGATGCTGGTGAAGCTGTGGAAAAATAGGGACACTTTTACACTGTTTGTGGAAATGAAATTAGTTCAACCATTGTGGAAGACAGTGTGGTGATTCCTCAAAGCTCTAGAACCAACAATATCATCTGACTCAGCAATCCCATTACCCAAAGGAATATAAACCATTCCATTACAAATATACATGCACACATATGTGGATTGCAGCACTATTTACAATAGCAGAGACACGGAATCAACCCAAATGCCCATCAATAATAGACTGGATAAAGAAAATGTGGTACACATACACCATGGAATACTATGCAGCCACAAAAAGGAATGAGATAATGTCCTTTGCAGGGACATGGATGAAGCTGGAAGCCATTATACTCAGCAAACTAACACAGTAACAGAAAACCAAGCACTATATACTCTTGCTTATAAGTTGGAGCTGAACCATGAGAACATATGAACATAGGGAGGGGAACAACACACACTGGGACCTGTTGGGGGTGCGGGTTGGGGGAGAGAGAGTATTAGGAAAAATAGTTAATGCATGCTAGGCTTTATACCTAGGTGATGGGTTGACAGGTGCGGCAAACTGCCATGGCACACATTTACCTATGTAACAAACCTAATATCCTGCACATGTACCCTAGAACTAAAAATAAAATAAAAGTAGTACATTTTACTTAAGAGGGACTTTTGAAACCTCAGTGCAATCATCTCATTTTACATGAAAACTCTGAGCTTAGAGAGGTACAAAAACTTGCTCATAGTCATAGCACTACTTAGTTACAGAACCTGGTCACCTCCTCCCAATTTCATGATTGTTTCAACAGATATCAGTATGAGTTTTGAGAAAAATAAACAACAAATTGGGTATTCTTCCAAAATAAACATTTCCTATATTAATCTTATATAAAACACTTCACATGATTTCAAACCAGTCAATAAATTAACATTATATACCAAAGTAGCAACAAGTTAACAATCCCTTCTTTCATATTTTGATCAAGTATATTCTAAAAAGAAATATTACATTAAGATTTAATGTACCAAATACAACAGCATTTCATTTCAATATTTAACAATACTATGTTCAATATTGAAAAGTAAAAAGAAGCTAAACTTTATCTCTTTGTGTATTGATTTCAGCAATTTTGACAGTGTTTAATCCTCTGTGCACGTGTTTCTACACAACAAGAAAGTATGGCTACAAGATTAATCCAAAGAACAATTTAAAAGCTATTTCAATGGCAATTTCTGTGACTGAGTCATGAAAACAGACATAAAGTTCTTGAGGTTTTGGATGAAGAAAAAGTCTCCTGCAGAAGAAAAGAACACACTCATTTCAGAAATTAAAACAACAAGAACAACTCTAACCCTCCAATTAATTAATTTTTGTTTTTGAAAGCATCAGTAGTAAGTTAAAAATCCATGAATCTGAATCTGCAGAAGGGAGAAAGCAGCTAGATTTATTTCTAAATAAATAATACATGCCTTAGGTCAATTATTTTTTTATTGTTCCAGACTATAATAATACTGTTTTATCAATACATATTATGATACCACTCAGTTTTTAAATAGTAAATCTAGTTACTACAATAAAGCCAGTAGCACTAGCATCACAGGCACAATAGTTATTAAATATTTTATTGCTATTTACTTTCTAATGTTTAATTTTTATTAAAACATTAAAGATGGTAGCTTTATTTTTGCAAATAGAACTGAATTGGAATCAACATTGAAATTTTATTTGGTTTTCTTAAAGAGTTTTTTTTTTTTTTTTAAGAGAGAAAGCATTTATTTATTTATTTATTTATTTATTTATTTTGGAGACAGAGTTTCATTCTGTCACCCAGGTTGGAGTGCAGTGGTACAATCTTGGCTCACTACAACCTCTGCCTTCTGGGTTCAAGTGATTCTCCTGCCTGAGCCACCCAAATAGCTGGTATTATAGGCACCCACCACCATGCCAGGCTATTTTTTTTAATTGCATTTTAGGTTTTGGGGTACATGTGAAGAACATGCAAGACTGTTGCATAGGTACACACATGGCAGCGTGATTTGCTGCCTTCCTCCCCTTCACCTATATCTGGCATTTCTCCCCATGCTCTCTCTCTCCAACTCCCCACCCCCTGCTATCCCTCCCCTATTTACCCCCAACAGGCCCCAGTGTGTGATGCTCCCCTCCCTGTGTCCATATGTTCTCATTGTTCAACACCTGCCTATGAGTGAGAACATGTGGTAAAATTTTAATTTATTTAATCAATACAAATTTATATAAATTGATCTATTTAAATTGGAGATACTTCTGCCTGACTTTCTGAGATTTCTCTTCCGCATAAATCTGCATTATTATAATTCAACACCTTTTGATTCTTTCTATTCCAATTGTAATGAATGCAGTTAAAACTCCATTGAACAACTGCATGTGTACCTAACTAGTCTTCTCATTTCTAGTCTCTCTCATGTGCACATCATTCCATTGGCTGCTCCCAGTTTAATATTCCAGTAGTACAGCTCTGATCACACTACATGGAATTAAATTTACACTGATGTTCCCAAGCCTGGTTCACATGATAATCACAAGGGAACTTACTAAAAATACAGATTCTCACTCCCATAGATTTTGATTTGTAGGTCTGGGGCCCAGACATCTCTGATTTTAACAAGTGACTCAGGTGATTCTAAATCCCATAGACGAGCACATGGCAATTTCTGCTTTGCGTAATGTCTGTAAAGTATCTGTCATACAGCTTAATACTACATGGTAGGTATCCACGATCCTTATTTCCAACTAATTCTGTGCCCTTTCCTCCACCAACTTTTACTCCAACTCAAAGAACCTTCAATGAAGGCTCTCTGCAGTAGTCCTAACTTAGGTTCCCGACTTGATCGTTCACTTAATCTTTGTATATGTCATTCTTGTACCATCTTGGCAAACCAGTCTGCTCACTGCTGTGCTTTATAATTTCCACTGTTTGGGTCTTTGTTCATTAGACTTTGCCCCCTCCTCAGAATTCCTATAGCATGTGGTTGTATTATCTAATTCATTTTACAAATATGTATACATACACACACATATATATAAGATTTCTCTCTATATAATATATATAAATATATATTCAATCATATTTCATATTTCTTCTGCTAGATGTAGGGCCTTTAGAGGCAATGACTGTGTTTTAGTGTTTGCCAGGCACAGTCTCACCTACTCGGCCATCACATATTTATCAAGTGACTATATTATGTGTCAGGTACTGTTGCAGGTGCCAGTGGTGGACAAGACAGATACAATTCCTGACCTCAAGAAACTGGCACTCTAATGCAGGTGGGGGTGGAAAAGGACAAGAAAATCAACAATAAAAGAGTGATATAGAGAATAACTGAGTGGCCACTTTGATGAGGGAAAGAGATTATGGATCTTCTCTCACAAGATGACCTGTTAGCACTAGTCTGAATATCAAGGATCCAGAAGTGCAAAGGTCAAGGGATAGAATATCCCATGCAGAAGGAACAGCAGAAGCAAGATCTGATTCGTGCTCATGCAGCTGGTGCACAGTGGATGGAAGAGGAGGGAGATAGGAGATGGAAACAAAGGTGGGGAGGGTCCTGATTGGGCATGGTCTTGTGGCAGGGGGCAGAGATAGGAGAAGAGAAGAAAGAAGAGAGGATGGAAGAGGGAAGGGAAGAGAGGGGGAAGAAATGAAGGAACTAGGGAAAAAAGGAAGAGGAGAAAAATTGTGAAATTATTCTTTCAGTGTATTACTAATATAATTTTGTAAGCTAATTTTTAATAGAAAAATACTTGGGAGGGATTTAAAGGAGACACTTAACAAATAAAATATATTAAAATATTATAGCTAGATTAACAATTCTATATCTACATTTTAAAATGTTACTCTCCTTTACCACTTTTCTTTCACTTTTCTAACACTTCAGTTTCAAATAATTTTCTTCCCCACTTACCCTACTACCCAGTAGGCCATAACTGGTGGTGCTTTTTTCTGATCAGTCCAGTTTTCAGGTGAACATTCAAACAATACACCATGTTCTTTAACAGGGTTAAGAGAAGACACCGACTTTGCAGAATCTGAATGGTCTCTACTATTTAGTCCTTTCTTTTTCTGTAAGTTAATAGGTATTGTTAGTATTAACTGGTATTACTGCTGTTACTTTAAAACGTTTTCACAGGTTAATTTGAATTGGCTGATCTGAATACTTAAGTGCCTGCAATGACATTCTTCTTATCTGCAGGAAAATTTCTATTCTTCCTCAATACTTAAATAACATATCCTAAAGGAGACTTCATGGATAAAGTGTACCTTGACTTTTCTAGGGAACACTTTGTTCACAGCCCTTATTAGTAGTATGTACATTACATTATATTAGCAGTTTATAGATCTGTCTTCTGCAGTGGAAGATAGAAAATTATAGGCTTTTTTCCCTAGGGCAGAGACAATATACAATCTTCTTTTGTGTTTTAAAATCAGCAGTGCCTGGTACAGAGTAGGTGCTTAATAAATGTGTTCTAAATGAACAGATAATTCTGTAATTAACTGAAAAAATATATATATTTAAAGCATTATTTTCTCTTCCTTTGACACATAATCTTTAATTTTCATACTGATTAAAGCGTTAGCAAAACAATGACTCATTTGGACTAAAAGACTTCTTATAAGGTTCAGGCCAAAACAGTGGAGGGATCCTTGATTCTCTTCTTTCCCTTATAACTTTTATCTAATTCATCAACAAATCTTTTTGGTTCATCCTCCAAAATATATCCAGATTCCAGAATCCATAATCACTTCTTGCTTTGAGAATTTCAAAAGGCTCCTAACTGGTCCCTGCCTCCACCCTTGCTACTCTGTTTTCTGTTCTAACCACAGTAGCCTGAGTGATCCTTTAAAAAAAAATTAGAGTCATGTCCCTTCTTTGGGCAGAACTGTTCAAGAATGTATCATCTCTTTCAGAAAAAAGCCCAAAGTCCTTATCATAGTCCATTCGGCCATGCACAAGCTGGCCCTGCTACCTGCGTGATCTCTTCTTCCACTCTCTTCTCACTCGGTCTGCTCCAGCACTCTCCTAGCCCCTAGAGAATGGTTTCAGGATGAAAGTGTTCCACCTCAGATCATCAGGCATTAGAGTCTCATAAGAGGTGAGGAGCCCTTGCATGAACAGTTGTTTGTTCTCCATGGGAATCTAATGCTGAGCTGATCTGACAGGAGGCGGAGCTCAGGCAGTAATGCTCTGCAGTTTTGCATTTGCTGTTCCTCTTTCTGGAAGCTCTGCCTCTAGAGAGCCACATGGCTTGCTCTCTCAGTTCATTCAGGTCTCTCTTCAAGTATCACTTGATATGATCAGAGGGATCTTTTAAAACAGTCACTCCTAACTCTCATCCTTACCATATGTTATTATTTTGCTTGACACCGATTCTTCTCAGCATATTATTTTCTAATGCTTTTCTCTCCCCCATTAGAAAATAGGCTTCACAAAGGAAAAGACTTTGTTTTGTCCACTGCTGTATCCCAAGCTCCTAGAATAGTGTCTGGTGCAGAGTAGGTACTTCAGTGTTTAAATAAGACAGGGAAAACAAGTTTCTATTACTAAATATTATCAAGTAAGTAAATGAAATACTCCTTTATAAAATTTATCAGTTATGTTAAATAGGGAAATAGGAGCATAAGTACCCAAAGCATATAGGAATATATGGCCAAACACAGTAGTTTTACAAAATAATAATTTCTGAGGACTCAAAGAAAAATCCTATAAGACGCAGAATTTTACTGCTGAATGAGCCCAGAGAGATGATGTAATTCAGCCTACTTGCTTCATAGCTGAGGAAATAGGAGGAAGTAAGGCTCAGTACAGGATTCCTTATTCTTTGTCCAATGTTTTTCCACTTTTAAACCCAAGTTCTTCACAAATTTGGCATCCTTAATACACGTATTGCTGTATATGTTACAACCATTTTCAGAAAGGTTTTTTGGCTGTATAATGTCACAAGTAAACCTCTGTGTGTTTGATCCTTTTCAAGAAATCAACACCTATCTTTTCCTGCCATTAAAACAATCTGATACTGTAACTGTATACAGCATTATTATTTATTCAACAGATAACCACATTCAATGAAACTTCATCCTGGATAGAAAAGCAAGCAACCAACCAACCAAATGCCAAAACATTTGCATTAGTCTTGTGTCTATAGCTGTACCTTAACCCAGTGGTCCCCAACCTTTTTGAAATGGAGACCAATTTCTGGGGGAGGGATGGTTTCAAGATGAAACTGTTCCACCTCAGATCATCAGGCATTAGATTCTCATAAGAAGTTCGAAGCCTAGATCCTTCACATGCACAGTTTACAACAGGGTTTGCACTCCTATACGCTGCTGATCTGACAAGAGGCAGAGCTCAGGCGGTAGGTCCCCTGGCCCACCACTTACTTCCTGCTGTGCAGCCTGGTTTCTAGCAGGCCACAGAGAGCTGCTGGTATGTAGCCCAGCAGGGTTGGGGACCCCTGCCTTAATCCATTATATTCCAAAATGCCTTATACTGTTGGCTAAATATTTAAAGAATTATCAGAGTTATTTTAGGAACCAATTGGTAAATATTATTACCCAAGTAATGGTTGAGTCACAAATATCAAATGTGGAAGGTTAATTTATATTTAACAACTGTTTTCTATTTTGCTGTAGAAAACACAGGTCTACCATTTCCTGAAATCGTAACTCAAGTCTTCAAATTCAGTATAAAATAAAACCTTGAAATACTGTGAGAATAACTGTTTTGGCACCCAAGTTAGATTGAGTGAATATTTTTTTTTTTTTTTTGAGACGGAGTTTTGCTCTTGTTACCCAGGCTGGAGTGCAATGGTGCAATCTCGGCTCACCGCAACCTCCGCCCCCTGGGTTCAGTCAATTCTCCTACCTCAGCCTCCTGAGTAGCTGGGATTACAGGCACACGCCACCGTGCCCAGCTAATTTTTTGTAATTTTTAGTAGAGACGGGGTTTCACCATGTTGACCAGGATGGTCTCGATCTACCGACCTCGTGATCCACCCGCATCGGCCTCCCAAAGTGCTGGAATTACAGGCTTGAGCCACCGCGCCCGGCCTTGAGTGAATATTTTTTAAAAACTTAATTAAATGAAAACAATGCTGGACATATTGATTAGAGAATAGAATGCTTAGAGATGTGGAAATTAAACTGGCAGAAAACTATATTTATAGCAGTGCCTTACCTCTTCCACCAATGTCTGTTGGAAAACTGCACGAATGGAAAGACAACACTGATGGAAATTCTTTATTAGCTGAGGGTGGATAGAGCCACTTAGCTGTGCCACCTCTTCAAGGGTAGGAGTAATAAAGATTCCTTGCACTGTTTCTAAGGCAACGTAGTGGAAAAGTGTGTTCTCAGGACCAGATGTCAGTCTTAAAAAGAAGAAAAAAAAAGAAGAAAGATGAAATTTTAGTAAATTTAAAAATATTGGTTCATTTTGAATTTAGTAGACTTCTTACAAGCTTTTATCTACAATATAATATTAATAGTATAATTAGGGATGGAAGACTGGGCTAAACATTTAATTCTCTCTTCATCCTTAACTGAAATACAAGCTAATGAAGACAAATACTACATGTTATGCAAGGATAAATAAACATCAACTCATTTTCAAGTAACTTAATCATTCCTTTGCTAAACAACCCAAATTGGTTAACTGCCTCTTTTTCCATGGTTGGTATTAAATGACTCAGCTGTCTGGTCCAGATAGCTAAAAGCCATAAACAAGGTATCAGTCTAGGGAGGAGCACATATAAAAGTACCTTCCAACAAACTAAATACATTTAAGTTAGTAGCATTAAAGTCTTTTCTCATGATAGTCAAACTGATGTTCCTGAAGAAAAATAAAATTATTATTATGACTGCAAAAGTTAGATTAATATTCTACATAATACCATGATAATTCCTGGTAGTATTCTACCACTTCTCATTATTACCATCTTCTTTCTTTCCTATGTTCTCTTACTCATTTTTTCTTTCTTCCCCATCTTTCCTCCTAGTTTAATCTCAGACAGGCCAGCAGGACCTATAAATACTGTTAATTTGTATCAGCAGTAAGATAAGCAAAAGAACAATAGTAATAGCAACAATGAAATAATAATAATAATTAACATATAGTGAATGCCCTTTATATACCAGGGTAGGTGCTTTAAAATACCTTAGTTTTAATTCTTATAATGATATTGCAAGATAATATCCATTACCATCCTCACTTTAACCATGAGAAAATCAACATTAAGAGGACTTGGATTAACTTGCTTGAGAGGTCACATAGCCAAATAGCAGATTTTAGCTGACTCTGAAACTTGTTCTGTGATACCTTGCTTTTTTCTCTCCAGGGCTCACTTCTGATTGCAGCAATTCCTCACATGCATCTCAAATACTCAAGCTGCCCCATTTTAATCCTTCTGTGATAAAAGGCTGTCTATACTAAAAAATATCTTCAGTTGATTTTTTTCCAGCCATAAGCATAGAGGCAAGAAAAAGGCATATTTTAGCTCTTAGCCTAGATACTACCTAGATCATCCATGCAGATTAAATTCTTGTTAAACAGTTAATTAAGCAGCATGATCCAAATAAACTTCTTATCACTGATTTATGGCCTTGGTACTCTTTTTTGAGACCAGTGATAGAGAGGGAATGAAATTATTTACAAATTCTTTTCTCACTTTTCCATAGGGCAACTGGCTCATTAACAACTGGTGGCTGACAACCTTTACAGAAATAATAACTTAAATAAGATGAAAGAAATTATGGTTATTTTAAAAGGAAAATAATTTAAAATATACCTTTTAATCTGGAGATCTTCAGATTTAAAAAGTATGGAACAAAATTATTCTTTACAAAAGAATTATTAATACATTTCTTTTGGGGGGATAGAATTAACATTTTTGTTATCTTTCAAATTTTCTCTAAAAAATAAGCCACAATACAATAAACAGGTTTAGCTCTTAAAAAACCATAAACGTTGGGCGTGGTGGCTCATGCCTGTAATCCAAGCACTTTGGAGGCCAAGGCGGGTGGATCACCTGAGGTTGGGAGTTCAAAAAACCATAAACTCATTCAGTCTGTGTGTGTGTGTGTGTGTATACACACACACACACACACACACACACACATATATTTTTTTTAAACAGTGTTTTGCTCTTGTTACCCAGGCTGGAGTGCAAAGGCACAATCTCAGCTCACTGCAATCTCTGCCTCCTGGGTTCAAGCAATTCTCCTGCCTCAGCCTTCTGAGTAGCTGGGATTACAGGCATGTGCCACCATGCCCAGCTAATTTTGTATTTTTAGTAGAGACAGAGTTTCTCTATGTTGGTCAGGCTGGTCTCAAACTCCTGACCTCAGGTGATCCGCCTGCCTCAGCCTCCCAAAGTGCTGGAATTACAGGTGTGAGCCACTGAGTCCGGCCCACTTAGTCTATATTAACTAAAAGTCTTAAAAATCACCAATTAAGCAATTACCCAGTAGGAAGACAAAAGATTTGTATAAGAAAGCAGATTAAGTCAGAGTTAGTCTTCAGAAAGGTTACTCCTGTAGTTGAGAATGGGTTTAGGGTAGGCTAGGAGTTGAGACATTGTTGCAATAAAACCAGGTGAAAGAAAATGGGAGCCTAAACCAGGGTAGTGTCAATAGAGGAGTGAACGGATTCAAGAACTACTGGAAGAATGGGTAGGACTTATTTACTGAATGAGATGTTTTATATATGTTATTTTCAATATATTATATATATTTTATTTTACAAAGATAGGTGTATATAGTTTAGGATAGTATATTACATCCTGTTTTACATTATGCTTTTTAAATGAACTACACAGTATCAAAACACCTTTCTATGTCTAATGAGAATAAACACCCATCTTTGGCATCTTTTAAAACAGGAGAGCCTGTGATTTACACCACATGTGAATTTATGTTTAAACCACTGAATTTGAAAAAAGAGTTTCCTTTTACTAGAGACAATGCCAACATAACATGATATGGAGGTAATAAAATTTCAGAGCAATAGTTTTTGTTAAATGGAAGACTAAAGTGTTGTGAAGGTACTTTTGGGTTCCATAAAGGGTTTGGTTCCAATTTACTCATCTAAAAATCATGTTTAACTATCAAAAAATTAAACATTCATATTTAGAGGCACTAAATACCAAATTTTAACACTTCAGATTTCAAACATATTTTATGCAGACAAGTTACTTTGTTTTTGTCTTGACTTCAGAAAAAAAGAATTTCCTAACAACCTTGTAACACATATATTTGAACTTACTATAAAGTGTTTCGATGATTAAGAATGTGGTAGCTCTGTACTATATGTGTGTGAATTCTATTTGTACATGTCTAGTTGTTCAAATAAAAGTATGCAATTGAGTTTATTACACCAGTTGATCCCACACATAATGAAATGTCTGCCAAGATCCAGGCAGATCCGCATCACCACATGATAACTGCATAAGAAGTGAATGTATAACATTTCATATTATAATAATTATGCTTTTTAAATGAACTACACAGTATCAAAACACCTTTCTATGTCTAATGAGAATAAACACCCATCTTTGGCATCTTTTAAAACAGGAGAGTCTGTGATGAGTTTATTACACCAGTTGATCCCACACATAATGAAATGTCTGCCAAGATCCAGGCAGATCCGCATCACCACATGATAACTGCATAAGAAGTGAATGTATAACATTTCATATTATAATAATTATGCTTTTTAAATGAACTACACAGTATCAAAACACCTTTCTATGTCTAATGAGAATAAACACCCATCTTTGGCATCTTTTAAAACAGGAGAGCCTGTGAAGCCTCACTCAGTTTCTTTTATGTCAGAACTCCCTACTCAATGCAAGTTCGAATTTTACCTGTTTTTTAAAGAGAGTGTAATGGGTCCAGTTCCCTGGGACCTAAACTCTGAGAGTGAGCTATGCCGGAAGGAAACATTAGGAAGTACTCTTGGGAAAAACGGCTGTAGGGGTGGAATGACTGAGCAGGATTAAGCGGAGGGAGAAAGTGAAATGTGCTGTGGCAGCAACAAGCCTCAGTGGATACCACCGGGTACTATGAAACTTGGTTGCCCTTTCAGAATTGTCTTCAATTTAGGCAAGGGACCAAGCCTTTGTACTCATTTATTTATTAGTCATTGGAAGTGGGCTCCTCCCAGGAAGGAGTGTAACCTTAGCTGAGTCAACAAGCTTCCATGTAGGACAAGGCTAGGGGAGTGACATGGCTAGGGGAGCTGTGAGGCATTAGCAGCCACCACTCTCAAGTGTTGGGAAGGAATACCCTGAGCTATGGTACTGGACAGCACACCACTGTATCCACGAAACACTCTAAAAATAGTAAACTCTAATTTAAAAATTATATTAAATACACAAAAGGGAGGTAACCTGTGGAAGAGAAATAAAGGGGGACTTTCACATTTTGAAACACTACTTTGTGTTTTTCTCTTACAGTACATGGTCATTTTCCTAAATGTATAATGAAATATTAAAGAAATACCACAGATATTATCTTTAATATGTAAGATATATCAGAATTACATTTGTTGAGTAAAATATATGTTATAGAATTGTACTTTATCACTGTAAAACTTCCTGAAAGAGTTTAAGTGAGCAAGAATAAGGAAGTTTCTTACTTCACTGTGTTATATATTTCTAATTCTTTTTCTGGAAGGTCCTTTTTCAAGTTTCCCAAATGAAATGGATTTGGAAGAGTAGACTTCTTTTTAGTGACCTGAAAAATATAGTTAAGTAGATTGGGTTATATCTAAGAATGGAATGATATAGCAGAAATAATTTAAAAACTAAACATCCTTCTAAGAGAACTACTTACCATTTTGCAATGCTTCCTTTAAATATTTTTGATACTAACTTGTACCTCTTCACTTATGGATCCCAGGGTCATGTTCTGGGATGGCATTATGGTATTCCCTGAAAACCTCCTACCAGAGCCATTACCAAGTTTGTATGTATGCATACTTGTCTCCCTTCCTAGACTCTGCACTCCTCAAAGCCAGGGGCTGTGTCTTATTCATTTCTGTATCTCTTTTGTGTAGTATGGCCCTTGGCACTTAGTAGGTATTTAATCAACATTTGTTGAATGGCTGAATTTTTTTTCCTTTGAGATAGAGTCTCACTCCGTCACCCAGGCTGGAGTGCAGTGGCGTGATCTCGGCTCATTGCAACCTCCACCTCCTGGGTTCAAGTGATTCTCCTTCCTCAGCCTCCTGAGTAGCTGGGATTACAGGTGCCTGCCACCATGCCAGGCTAATTTTTGTATTTTAGTAGAGACAGGGTTTTGCCATGTTAGTCATTGTGGTCTCAAACTCCTGACCTCAAATGATCTGCCTGCCTCGGCCTCCCAAAGTGCTGGGATTTACAGGCATGGGCCACCTCATCCAGCTAAATGGCTGAATCTTAAAGGTGAACTCAGTTTCTCTTAGGAGCTGTTCTGGGCTTGGTAATTCTTTAATCTGTCCAAATTCTTTTAGACTATTTCTACCAATTTCATTGACTGGGATAATAGGTATGGTACTGATGTCAGTATTTCCAAATACACCTCTCTTAGGGCTCCAAAAGTATTCTGTTGTTTGGAATGAGGAGATTGCATCTGGTTATTTATGCCACGCTACTAGCATCTCATATTTTATTTGTGCTCCTTCTCAGACTTCTCATCTGGTATCACTTCCATCCACCCAAATGACAAGTTTCAAAAATGTTTTGAAAGACGGCAGCATCACTAGAATAAGTACAAAGCCTCCCAGGGTGAATGTTTTGATGATCATTTGGATATTTTATGGTATTTTCATGGGGAAAAAATCAGGAAAAATGATAATCTGAAAAATAAACATCCTCTTTACAGTCAACTTTTAAATCTTTGAGTATTATACAGGTTCAGATTTTAAAATCTATAAAAATAGGATAATACACACACACAGAGACATATACAGACACATACACATACACACATTTAGGGTTCTGATTCTCTTTGCTGAACACTTCATTGGCTATTTAGTCAGATCGCCCCACAACAGGCCCCATGGCTTGCATGCTCTCTGTTATCATTGCAAATAGGGAAGAAAGAGATGAACATGGAAATTAAGATTAAAGTTCCCTATCTCTAAGTACTGTTAAACAGAAAACGAGGTCAAGGGGCTCCTGTCTTATTACTTGGTATTTTTCTTTTTTTCCTTTTTTTGAGATAGAGTCTCACTCTGTCACCCAAGCTGGAGTGACAGATTGTGCAGTGGCACAATCCTGGCTCATTTACAACCTCTGCCTCCTGGGTTTAAGCAATTCTTGTGCCTCAGCCTCCAGATGTATCTGAAATTACAGGTGTGCACCACCATGCCTGGCTAATTTTTGTAATTTTAGTAGAGACTGGGTTTCACCACATTGGCCAGGTTGGTCTCCAACTCCCAGCCTCAAACAATCTGCCATGCCTGGCCTGATATTTCTTTTTCTTTTTGGTTCAAAATCATTGGTTTGCCAGCAGTGACTGAAACATCCACCATGTCAAATGCAGAATGGTATGCCACTAAAAAAAACTGTCTTGCAATTATAAAATAAGGACTGGAGAGACAGCTTAGCTCCCAGAATGTACACACTTGAATGAACACACACCTTAAACGAGGTTCCACTTTCTTCTAAACCAACAGAGCCCTGATATTCTCTTTCCTTCCGTACCGCATCTGGTGTAGTATGGGGGCTAAAGCCATCATCTTCTCCACCTTCACAACCATTGTCAGATCCTTCACTGCTTCGCGAAGGACTGGGCTTATGTGTCTTTAAGGAATAGTCACCAAAAAGCGTTCTTCTACATGTTGGAGAGGTTGCTACTTTGGAAGTACCTTGTAGCCTACTGAGAATAGGTGAAGTGGTCAAGCTATCTGTTTTTTCACGTGATCCAGTAAGGAACCAGTCAGCACAAGACAAACAGGGGATTGGAGGAGATGCCAGTCGCTCATCTATGCGAGAATCTACTCCCTCCAGCTGTTGAAGAGTTGTTTTGACCTGATCCACATATATACAGTCTGGTCCTGGATTCCCAATAGCTTTGGATGCACAGCCTCCAGCTTCTAATAGTACACATAGCATATAATGTTTCTAAAGGGAAAAAAATTACAAATGTAGGTTTAGTTACCATGAAAATATTTACATAAAATGTACATGTATAAATTTATAAATACTGAAGACACAGAGGCATATGGCATAATAATATGATGATTATAAAAATCTCCTCCCTCATCTTTCCTTTTTGGTTATTATCAATGCTTCTTGATCTCAGTTGAAAACAATCTTACATTGCCTTATCTTGATATAACATCAAACCACTTCTTTTGAGACACGGAATTCCCTAAGATAGCTGTCAAAGAGCCTCAGTTATCGGAAGTCCTTTCATCTACAATTACATATTTATTCTGTTTCTGATTCTATATTCTTTTCATGTCTCCCTCTATCTCCCAAAACAAGCGACTGGATAAAACCACTATAGAAAGGGGAACAAAAGACTTTAAAAACCTGCTAAAATGTTTTCTTAGATTTTATTATTTGTCCATTGGTATTAAATGGATACAAAAGAAAAGGAATAAGGGGCATGTAATATTTCTTTGAATACTAGTATTAGACATACTAATTTTAAATGAGCATGTTTGTGTATTTATTTAGACAGTCAATAGATACCTACCCACCCCTGCATCCCTCCCCAGCAAAAAAAAAAAAAAAAAAAAAAGAAAAAGAAAAAAAGATGAAAAATCTCAAGAAAGAAGCTGAGGTAAACTTACCAAGCCAACAATTAGCAAAAAATATCTTCCTTCAGGTTCCGGAAAGACTTCAGTGTTTGAGTCTGCCAAAGGTCGGAGGTGATGCTGAGGAAACACTTCTCTCCATATTATCAACTGACCAATTCTTTGTTTTGCTGCTAATGGCAGCAGACAATAGTGGCGACAGTATACAGTAATATCAATAAGATCTTCCTTGGGCAAATGATTGCATATCAAATAACCCTTGAATTTAATCACAAAGAGCAAAAGTCTACCAGTGATATAAAGCAATTAATGCCATAATATATTTCTAAGAGTTTTATAAACACTTCTTCAGTTGGTTTAGAATATTCTAGTTTCAAATGGGATAAATACAGTAAAAGCAAATGATTTTTTTCTTGAGGTCAAAATAGAGATCAAATGATAACTTAAGGTCTACCAGTAGGTAGACTTAAGCACAAAGTAAGATCAAGATCACTTCTGTGTAGTACAGCTTCAGTATTTAGCAAAATTAAAAAAGAACTGAATTCTGAGAATGGAAAGTCAAGAAGCAGGGGTCATGACAGAGACTCACTTTTCACTGTGCACCCTTCCCTACTGCTTGATTCTTTGTTAGATGTGCTTTATATTGTGTTTAAAAATCCTTTTTTAAAAATAAAAATACTTAAATTCATTCGATGCCTCATTTGCTTTACATGGACATCAACTAAATGTTATATAAGATTTATTTAAAAGATGTAGGTTACTTTTCTTTTTTCCTTTTTCTTTTTAATTGAACTGAGTCTCACTCTGTCACCCCAGGCTGGAGTACAGTGATGTGATCTTGGCTCACTGCAGCTTCTGCTTCCTGGGTTAAAGCAATTCTTGTGCCTCAGCCTCCCAAGAAGCTGGGATTATAGGCATGCACCACCCACCCCAGGCTGGAGTGTGGTGGTGTAATCTTGACTCACTGCAGCTTCTGCTTTCTGGATTAAAGAAATTCTTGTGCCTTAGCCTCCCAAGTAGCTGGGATTACAGGCATGCACCACCATGCCCAGGTAATTTTTTTTTTTTTTTTTTTTTTTTTTGTATTTTTAGTAGAGACAGGGTTTAACCATGTTGGACAAGCTGGTTTCAAACTCCTGACCTCTGATGATCTGCCCACCTCGGCCTCCCAAAATGGTGGGATTACAGGCGTGAGCCACCATGCCCGGCCAACTTTTCAGCAGAGGATAAAAAACACATTCTTTGAAAAGGAAAGTATTGTTCTTCCCTTTTACATACTTAGTTCTTTGAGTACTGTTTCTCCTGTGCACATTTGCAAATACTTTATAAATGCTTTAGAATGCAATGAAATCATAAATATTTACCATTATTTACATATATGTAGATGCAAATCTTGTTTTAAGGTCTTAATCTGATCAGGTATGGTGGCTGACGCCTATAATCCCAGCACTTTGGGAGGCCAAGGCAGAAGGATTGCTTGAGCCAGGGAATTGTTTGAGCTGAGAATGGAGGCTGCAGTGAGCTATGATTGTACCCTACACTCCAGCCTGGGTGGCAGGGCAAGACCCTGTCTCTAAAATAAGAAAGATCTTAATCTATGGTAGCTATATTCAGAAAAAAAGAGAGAAATGTATTTTTCATGTTTGTAAAAGTATTGAAAATTTAGGTCTGTTTATATAGCAGCTGGACATTTCAACTTAAAGCTTTAACTTACCTTATAAAATAGAGAAGAGCCCAAAATTGTATATAGCCGCCTCATGTCATAGTAATCCTCAGACTGGGGGAAAAATTCATAGTGGATTTTATATTTTAACTTTTTTGTGATAAAAATTCCAATTAAGCTATAATAGTTAAAATGAAAATTATATGCTTTAGTAACTAAACTTTTCATAGTGCCATCTTTAGAAACCAGTATACCAGAGTATTTGGATGAAATATAATACACATATATTTATTTCATTGAGAACAACCTTATTTTTTATTCTTTTAAGACTCTTGATTAGAGACATTAAGAACATAAAATCTGTTACTCTATGAGGGATTTCTTAGAACAAATCTTTTTAGGACAAAAAGCTTTTACTCTATATAATCTACAAAATCCAATATTACCATATGCTATTTTTGAAAGCACAAATTGATGCAACCTATTTGCAAGCAACTAAGTGGTATATAAAAAAAAAATAAGTCTACATACCCTTTGAGTAATTCTACTTATAGAAATCCACAGGAATACTCAAGTAGTGGAATCAGTTGGATTATTTGTAATATAGAAAAATTAGAGATAACATGAAAAACAACAATGGAGGCATGGCCAGCAAAACTAGATATACCACAGAATATCATACATATGTTAAAAAAAATAAGACTGATCTATTGGAGCAGGCATAAAAGTTTTTAGGATACACTGCTCAGCAAATCATGCAAGCTGCAGAACAAAATATATATTATCATCTGATTTTTGTTAAAAATAGCATCCCCACCAACTATATACCTGTGTGTTTGTGTGTGGGAATGTATGTATATGGAAAAAGGTCTGGAAGGATGCATTCCAATCCATAATAGCAGTTACACCTGGGGATGGAAATGATAGAAAAGGATAAGCGAAGATATTTTCTTTTAATAACCATGCTTGGGTCTTCACCCAGTATACAGCTATTGCTTTTTTTTTTTTTTTCCTGAGACAGAGTTTCACTCTTGTTACCCAGGTTGGAGTGCAATAGCGTGATCTCGGCTCATCGCAACCTCCGCCTCCTCGGTTCAGGCAATTCTCCTGCCTCAGCCTCCTGAGTAGCTGGGATTACAGGCACATGCCACCATGCCCAGCTAATTTTTCGTATTTTTACTAGAGACGGGGTTTCACCATGTTGGCCAGGATGGTCTTGATCTCTTGACCTCGGGATCCACCCACCTTGGCCTCCCAAAGTGCTGGGATTACAGGTGTGAGCCAGCTATTACTTTTATAAGTTTTTTTTTTAAACCCAATGAAACCTAAAGAAAACTAAAAACTGGAAATAAACTAACCATTCCTCAACTGGGGAATGGATAAACAAATTGTGACACATCTATATGATGGAATACTACTATTCAGCAATATTAAGGACTGAACTGCCTGTACAATAGCATGAATGAATCTTAAATCCATTATGCTAAGTTAAAGCCAGACACAGTAAATTAACTACTATATGATTGTTTATTTAAATTCTCAAGACACATGTGGAATGTCTGCTTTATTCTAAGTGGCTGTCAGAGGCCCAGTCATGGACCAGGAACCAAAGAGTTGGGAATTGTGGAGCTGAACAGCGCAGGGATGTTCAGGTATCAGAAAGTAAAAGGAGGTCAGCTGAGTAGCCAGAGCAGCATTAAGGCCAGGATGAGCAGGATGATTAACTTATATGACATCCTGGAAAAGGCAAAATCATGGGGACAGAACACAAAGAGGTTGGGGGTATGGAGAGTGGTTGACTGTAAAGGGGTACAGAAGAATTTACTGAACATAAATTATACCTTAATAATAATTTTTAAAAACTAAGGAAAACACAGCACCAGGATATAAGATTAAATCTTAAATCTAATTTCACCAAAACATTTAGAAGAAATCCTTATTTTCATATTTTTAAAAATTAAGGCAAAATTTGTATTCTGTGAGTTTTGGCAAATGCATACAGTTATGTAAGTGCTACCAAAATTGACATGTAGAACAGTTCCCTCGATACCTCCCTACACCTTTTTTTCTGAGTAGTAGTCCATTTCTGAATATACCAAAATTTGTTCTGGTATTCAACCTTGCTAATGGACAGTTAAGTTATTTGAGTTGTTCCATGTTTTGGCTATTACAAATAAAGTTGCTTTGTATACAGGCCTTTGTACTACATGTGCTTTCAGTTCTCTTGGTTTAAAAAGATAGGAACAGACTGGGTGAATTATATGGTAGGTATACGTCTAGGTTATTAAGAAACTGCCAAACTGTCTTCCAAAGTAATTGTACCATTTTACATTCTCAATTCATCCATTTATTTCTTTTATGAATTGTGTTATTTTTCTGTATCCAAGGAATCCCAATAGATCATTTTTTTAACCATAGAAAATATTGTTAACTCAACTGCTCATTAAAATAATGTTCCATAAAGGCATGAATTAGATTTTTAAACTAAACATATTGGATGTAAGTTCCAAAACAATGGATATTTTAATACTTTAGATCTGAACTGCTCCTAATGATTAATATCCATCTAAACACTTTCATTAGTAAAAAAATTATGAGCCACGAAAAGCTTACCATGAAGAGTTTACCATGCTTAAATTTCTGTTATTTGTACAGACAAAACATGCTTCCATTTGTTTAGGGTCTTTGCTAAGACTCAGTCGCCCCTTCAAGCTAATTTTCTCCTCCCACTTTCACCTGCAATCTTCTTGAGGATAATCTACACTTCATGGCTTCTAGTTCCTTACTTCCCATTACTTCATAAAAGAACTTTTATGACTGAGAATTTTAGTGTATACTAAGAGGAAATTGTACAATTAGTTCTTGCATAGCTATTGTCACCCAGGTTTGACTATGACCAGTCCTTGGCTCATCTAGTTTCATCTGTATCATCATCTTCCCCTCCTCATGCTGAATTATTTCAAAATCAATCCCAGATATTATATCATTTCATCTGTAAACACTTCAGAATGTATGCATAAAACCAAAGGAATCTCAAAATATATATAATCATAATACCATTATCACAATCTAAAGAATTGTTTTCATCTAATACCCAGTCATTAGTGTTTACATTTCCTTGAATGTATGAGAACCAAGAATAGACTGTCTCATTTATGAGATTCCTTGACTCATAGATGTTTTTAAAAGTTTGTTTGAATGAGGATCTAAGAAAGGACATACATAGACTTCATTGATAATGTTAAGTCTCTTGTTCTGAGTCCTCTCTCAACTTCTCTCCCTTCTCCTCACCCTCACATCACCACCTTTTTCTAATTTATTTGGAGAAGAAAGTGTCCTGCAGTATTTGCCAGTCAGGATTTTGCTGACTGCAAATCTTCTTTCCCAAATGGGGTCTTTTAACATGTTTCCTTTCAGTGGTATTTCCTGTAGGTTGGTAGTTACATCTGAAGCCTCATCAAGCATATTTCATAGGTCATCTGTGTGCTTCTATCAGGAACAACATATTATCTGCCGTTTTTCTTTTTGTGATATTAGCAGCTATTGATGACCATTGCCTAGATCCATTAATTCATTGAGGGACTGCAAAATGGTTATATTCCAATTCTGTCAGTCTTTCTTGATATTTCAAGGTTACCTCTGTTTGGTAACATTGATACATGGTTCAGACAGGAAAGGCAGGATAAATGTCTGATTTTTCTTCATTTAACAGTTTTCACAAAAACAAGTTGGTGCCCTCATATTGTGCAAAGTTGACTAATAAGAATCCTTTTTTTTTTTTGGTATCATTATGCACTCATGGACTTATACATATCTGATGTGTTTCAATCTTTTGTAGGTATTTCCTTATAGATGTTAAAGACGGAGCCTCTTCAAGTTGTCTCATGACAATTTGAGTTCTACTATAACCCTATTAATTTTTGGAAAGCTTTCTGGATTTCTGATATGACAAGATGTTCTTAGACTTATCTTGCACGTTTTCTTTCTTTTTTTTTTTTTGAGACGGAGTTTCGCTCTTGTTATCCAGGCTGGAGTGCAATGGCACGATCTCAGCTCACCGCAACCTCCGCCTCCTGGGTTCAGGCAATTCTCCTGCCTCAGCCTCCTGAGTAGCTGGGATTACAGGCACGCGCCACCATGCCCAGCTAATTTTTTGTATTTTTAGTAGAGACGGGGTTTCACCGTGTTGACCAGGATGGTCTCGATCTCTTGACGTCGTGATCCACCTGCCTTGGCCTCCCAAAGTGCTGAGATTACAGGCTTGAGCCACTGCGTCCGGCCATCTTGTACATTTTCAACCCCAATTTTGGATGAGCCAATTCTTGAGGAGTCCTGGTTCCTTTTGGTGAGAAATGTTATTTATACACCATATCCTGGGTACAGCAATGGTCACTATTGCTAGACCTTTTCATTGGACATAGCTAGGAAATACAATAATTAAAAATTAAAACCCATAGTGATACTTCCAATTTAAGTACAGCTCTAGAGGATTCTTAATTAACTTAATCAGTATTACATCCATATTCATCTTCCTCAAAAGCTTAGTTTTTAGTGACACCAGTGTAATGAATCATTTTTAATCCCATAATATACATTGTGTAACAAATATTTCAACTGAGTAGAAAATCTTAAGGTAAGCAAAATAGATTTTGTCAGTGTCAAAACAGAGGCCTAATGTGTATTTCAAGATTATTATATATCGACTTGGTAAATAGTTAGAATAATGACTGGTATACAAAATAAAAATTCAACATTGAGCCTTTTATAAAACCCACTCCTTCTCTTACCAGTTCTGCAAAATCTGCAGCCTCCAAGTCACTTAATGCCATGTCTAATTCCATCTAAGTTAAAAAAAAAAAAGTAACATAAACATTTGACTTATATTGTTACTTTTTTATTAATGGCCATATAAAAAGAGCTTAAATACTACTTGAAAAATTGAGTTTCTTTCTCTTTTGTGTTACTTAGGAAATGTCTTAAAATGGAACATATTGTTTTTAAGCTTTGCAATTATAAAAGTTAACTTATTTAACTTATTGTTTTTAAGCTTTGCAAATATAAAACAACTTACTCATTTAACATAGCATATTTCAACTAAATCTCAATAACTACAAAATGGTCCTTACCATATATTCAATGCATAGTAAATTTATGAGGTTCAAAAGTTGCTTTCCAGCTTTAAGTTAGAAATTAATCCATTTGATTTCATAGAAGAAAATGAAAATCAGTCTTAAAGTAGCTAACTTATTTTGAGTTGTTCTTGTTTCTGCATTTCTTGTATATTACTCAATAGTTAGATTCTCGAAAAATATCAACATTCTTCCCTGTCTTTCTATTGGATACAATGCTTTGCATTCAAGAGTTGTCAATCTTTTCCTAGATTAAAACGCCCTCTGGAATCTGGTATAGTTCAACTCCCCCACAGAGTTATTAGAAAAAAAATAGCTTATTTAGGATTTGGATTTTGTTTCTATGGAAATTGCCTTAACTCTTTTGTGTATCACCTTTGTTCTTCTTTGAAGCATCCCAAATTTAAAAATAGCATAAATTTAATCTGAAGTTTAATCTATAATACAAATATATATATAAATCAAAACTGCTGGCAATTGATTTTTGTGGCATACATACTATTTGTGAATAAGAATCCTTTTTTTTTTGAGACTGTCTCACTCTGTCACCTAGGTTGGAGTGCAGTGGCGCGATCTCGGCTCACTGCAACCTCTGCCTCCCAGAGAATTCTTTTTTTCTTTAAATGCCAAAACACTCTCTGCAGGACTGTTTCACACACAAATTATGTCTTATTGAGAAATTTCAAAAAGCTTTTGAAATATTAGTCATGCCTTTCAATGCTTTTCATACAGTATGACTTATTACTCATTTGTGACCTACATTTTTCTGCATCTTGCAAATACTTTAGGTTCCCTTTTTTGTGGTTATTAGTCTGTATTGTGAAAAACTGCAGGAAAAAATTACCAATTTGTGATTTTTGATCTCAAAAACTGTTCAATGAGTTGCTATTCCTGCTGCTAAACTCTATAGACAATTAATGTACAAGATTACTGTAATATATATGTTTATTTATATTCCTTAAATGAAAACATAAAATGTCTTTTAATTATTTCACTGTACCCTAGGAAAATATGATTGAAAAAAAAAATCAAAATAAAAAACTTCTCAAATGCCTGAGAAGGAAAACTGAAGACTTCGTTATATACTAAAACTGGAACAAATACATTTTTTTCCAAGTTAAAAATGATGATTTATTTTGTTTTTAAAAATAAACAAACAAAAATCACTATTTCCACCTAAAATTGGCAGGTATAAGTTACCTTATACACATGTTTTTAACTAGATTTCTTAAGGCATTAAATTCCTTAACATTTTCCACTAGAAGATAGATAGTCAATAAATCCTACAATTTTTAATAATGAGAAATATCAGGAGAACTGGAATCAACCTCTGTCCATCAACAGATGAATAAAGAAAATGTGCTAAATATACTTAATGGAATACTATTTAGCCATAAAAAAGAACAAAATCCTTTCATTATGACAATGCAAACGAACCTAGAGGGCATTATGTTAAGTAAAATAAGCCAGGCACAGAAAGACAAACACCACATGATCTCATTCATATGTGGAACCTAAAAAAGCTAATATCACAGAAGGAGAGAGTAGAATGGTGGTTACCAAAGGCTTGGGCAGTTAGGGGAGAGGGTGAATGAGGAAATATTGGTCAAAGAATATACAATCACAGATAAGAGGAGTAAAATTGTTTTTTTAAATTAGAAAAGGTAAGCTTATAGAAATGAAAACTGGGCAAGTTATTGCCTGGGGCTAGGAGGGTGGGGAGAAGAAATTGAGAGGGAAAGAGAAAAGTAAAGAATAACTACTAATGGTCATGGAACTTCTTTATTGGATGATGAAATGTTCTAAAATTGATTGTGGTGATGGTTAGGCAGCTCTGTGAACAGACTAAAAAACATTTAATCGTACATTTTAAATGGGAAATCCTATGACATGTAAAATATCTCAATGAAGCCATTAAGGAAAAAGAACTTGATTAAGTTCATATAACTATTGTTCAAGCTGAAATTTTTTAAAATACTCAAGAGAAAGTCTTGATTATTAAACTGCTGTGCTATACTGCCTTAAATGAAGTAATTGGCATTTGAAACAGATAGGGCTTTATTGGTCTAAAACAGTGAGGTTTAATAATTTACCATCATGTCTCAGAATGTTTCAGTATAAAATTAAGGTCTTAAAAGTATTTCTAACTAAAAAAAAATGAAATCACAACTTATCAAAATTTATGTAGTGCAGCAAAAGTGGTGCTTGGGGGAAGTTTCTAGCATTAAATGCATACATTGGAAAAGAAGAAAGATCTAAAACCAATAATCTAAGTTTCTATTTTAGGAAACCAGAACAAAAATCAAATCTAAAATAAGCAGAAAAAAGGAAATCATAAAAATTAGAGGAGAAATCAATGACACTGAAAACAGGAAAGCCATAGAGAAAAATCAGTGAAACCAAAAGTTGGTTCTTTGAAAAAAAAAAAAAAAATACAATTGATAAGTCTCTAGCCTAACTAAGATAAAAAGAGAGAGGACATAAATTACTAATATCAGAAATGAAAGTGGGGGCATTAGTGCAGAGTCCATGGACATTAAAAGGATAAAAAAAGAATACTGCTAACAACTCTATGCTCACAAATTTGATAACCTAGATGGAATGGACAAATTTCTTGAAAGACACAAGAAGAAAAAGATACTATAAATTGGCTTACATTTATTAAAGAAGTTGAATCAATAATTAATCAACTTGCACCAGGCCCAGATGGGTAGACGGGTGAATTCTACCAAACATTTAAGTAAGAAATTATACCAATTCTCTATAATTTCTTTCAGAAGACAGAAGCAGAGGGAATACTTCCTAATTCATTTTATGAGGTCAGCATTACCCTACTACCAAAACCAGACAAAGACATTACAAGAGAAAAACAAACAAACAAAAAATGACAGACCAGTATCTTTTATGAACAGATGCAAAAACCTCCAATAAAATATTAGCAGAGGGACTCCAACTAAAAAGAAATATACACCAGAGCCAAAGGGGATTCATTGCACGTATGCAAGGCAGGTTTGACATTCAAAACCCAATTAATGTAATCCATCAGATCGATAGGCTAAAAAAAAAAAAAAAAACCCACACACGATTCTATCTATATGCAGAAAAAGCATTTGATAAAAGTCCGATACGCTTTCATAATAAAAACTCTTAGTATACTAGGAATAGAGGGAAACTTCTTCACCATGTTAAATAATATCTACAAAAAACTTATGGCTAACTTCATACTTAATGGTGATATGTGAGGTGCTTCCTAAGATGAGAAAGTGGCAAGGATGTCCCCTACCACCACCTATTTTCCACATCATACTGGGAGGCCCAGTTAATGCAATAAGGCAAGAACATGAAATACATGATTGGGAAGGAAGAAATAAAACGGTCTTTGTTCCTAGTTGACATTATTGTTTACATAGGAAATCTGAAAGAATTGACAAAATCTCATTTATTAAAATTTCATATATTTTATAAAATATATAAAAGTCTCGTTCTTTAATATATTTTATAAATATATAAAGGTCTCATTCTGTCATCCAGGCTGTAGTGCAGTGGCATGATCTCAGCTCACTGCAGCCTCTGCCTCCTGCATTCAAGTGATTCTCCCACCTCAGTCTCCTGAGTAGCTGGGACTACAGGTATGTGCCACCATACCCTGCTTAGATTTGTATTTTTTTTTTGGTACATAAGGGGTTTTACCATGTTGGCCAGGCTGGTCATGAACTCCTGACCTCAAGTGATCCACCCATCTCAGCCTCCTAAAGTGCTGGGATTACAGGCATTAGCCACCGCACCCAGCCTATAAGTCAATTGCTTTCCTATATATCAGCAATGAATAAGTGGAATTTGAAATTAAAAACAGAATACCATGTACCTTAGCAATATCCAAAATAAAATATTCTTAGTTATAAATTTAACAAAATATACACAATATCTGTATGAGGAAAACTACCATACTCTGATAAATGAAATCAAAGGAGAAGTAAACAAATGGAGAGATATTCCATGTTTTTACGGATAGGAAGACTCAATATTGTCAAGATGTCGGTTCTTCACAACTTGATCTATATATTAAATGCAATCCCAATAAAAATTCCAACAAGGTATTGTAAAGTTTATATGGAGAGGCAAAAGACCTAGAACAGCCAGTACAATATTGAATGAGAACAACAAAATCTGAGGACTGATACTATCTTACTTTAGGACTTAATATAAACCTACAGTAATCAAGACATTGTGTTATTGGTCAAAGAACAGACAAATAGGTCAATGGAACAGAGAGTCCACATATATACCCACATAAGTACTGTCAACTGATCTTTGACAAAGGAGCAAATACAATGTAAAGAAGCAAAGATGGTCTTTTCAACAAATGGTGCTAGAATAACTGAACACCCATTTGAAAAATATGAATGTAAAAGGCAAAACTATAAAAGTCCTAGAAAATAACATGGGAGAAAATTTAGATGGCCTTGGGTATGACAATAACTTTTTAGGTATAACACCAAAATCACAATCCATGAAACTGATAAGCTAGACTTCATCAAATTAAAAACTATTGCTCTCCAACAGACAATGTCAATAGAATAAGATGAACCACAGACTGGGGGAAAATATTTGAAAAAGTCACATGTGATAAAGAACTGTTATCTAAACTATACAAAGACCTCTTAAAACTCCACAGTAGGAACATGCACAAAAAATTTTTTAATGGTCCAGAA